CACACACAACACACACACACCACACACACACACACACACACACACCCCCACACACACACACACGCACGCACGCACGCACGCACGCACACACACACACACACACACATACGCACACACTAACACACACACGCGCGCGCGCGCGCGACATCGTCGGGCCAGAAACCGCGAGAATCTTTTTACAACGCGACGAAGCGGGCAACCAGGCTCACTATAGTTCTACCATACGGCCCTGGTTTGCTGTCTCAGACCTGTACCAGGCCAGCTAACCTAGGCGAGCCTAGCTCTACCCGTGCAGCCGCTTCTCTCCCACTACAGATGGCTATAGCTGGCCGGCTAAAGAATATAAGTTTACAGGCTAGGGAGATTATTTATTGCGCCGGCCATGCACGCTGTAAACATTCTTCTCCGATTCCCTTCATATAGGTTGTATAGTACAGCTCTGTAGCGGGAACGTAGGGGCTACACCGGTAGAGCTACGGCGAGCCCAACCCTGTTAGGTCGAGCCACTGGCGTGACGTCACCATAAGAGGCAGGGTAGAGCCTGAAGCTGAAAGAGTTACCGATTCACTGGGGCGGTCTCTACCGGCTATAGCGCTGCCGCTGCCGTTCGTGTCTTTGTTCCGTGCTGAGCGTGACTGATCACAGCGTGTGCGTGCGTGTGCATGCGTGCATGTGCTGCTATATAGCTAGTCTCACACAGGCCAGAGTGCGACAGAGTGTGAGCAAGCACCGGTCATAAGCAAGCGTGAGATCAGATCACATCACGATGGCAAGCTTCTGTGGAAAGTTCGAGTTGGTGTCTAGCGAGAACTTTGAAGAGTTATGCAAGGTTCTCGGTTAGTTGATTGTGTTTTCACTTTAATTTTCCGTGTAATTTGTGCCCAATTTGAGTTTCCGCTTAATTTGAAGATGTGCTGTTGAGTGCGTAAGCTAAAATAGCTTTTAAGGCTAATGAATAATGTGTTCCAATGATTAGAAATTGTATTGGTGTTTGATAAAATTAAGAGAATTTCATCCAGCAGCCAGAATATATTTTTATACTACGACTTTACATAATCTAGCACGGAAGACCTATAATTATATCTAGGATATGTATTAACATTATAATATGCACGACAATATTACAGCAAACGAACGTGCAAAATCTCGTACTGTTCTTTTCAAACCTTACGGATCACTCGCGCTATCTCTCGCTCTCACGCGCTCTCTCTCCCTCTTTCTCTCCCTCTTTTGCTCTCCCTCCCCCCCTCTCTCTGTGTGTCTCTCTTCATCGTCTCTTTCTCCCGTCTCTCTTTCGTTATACCTGCACACACGCACGCGCACATACACACTCACACACATACGCACGCACGCACACACGCACGCACGAACACAAACACGCGCACATACGCTACTGCTACTCTCTTGTGATAGATCGAAAAGCTCGCGGCGTGTATGCGTGAGATTCGAATAATACTCTGCAAGCTTTTCTATGTCCCTGTTGCTCACGCATGCTCGACACATGGCTTTCGCCTTCATCGCAGGTGTTCCCGAAGAGCTGGCGAAGGCGGGCGTGGCGGCGAAGACATCTCAGGAGATCTCCATGGACGGCGATGACATCACGGTGAAGCTGATCAATGACGTCAGAACCACGGCGAACACGTTCCGCCTTGGGGAGGAATTCGATGAGACCACACCGGACGGTCGCCTAGTGAAGGTAAGCGATGTTCATACGTCACGCCGCGTCACGTCGTTGTTTGTATTGCATTACTAAACACTCACAGAAGAACTGCGCGCAACGAGATTACCTTTTGCCAAAATACTGCAAACATATACTATAGACATACCTTGTCTACTTGTGTCGTTACAGGACTCTAAATTATAATATAACCAACAATATCTTTGATTTGTGTGTATTATGTATTAGATATTGGCTGTATGCAATCACAATCACGCTTAATCGGAACCTATAGACGATATGTTCTACGTATCGCGCCAGTCGCGCTGGTTCCATCGAGTACGATACATATATACGAGAGTGACTTTAATTACCTCGTATCTTATAGTCCAGCACGGCGACTCGCCGATTTTCAAACGTGTTTTGTAGTTTCATACGTGCGTTTAAACACGATTTTCAAACGTGTGTTTTAGTCGATCGTTGCGTTGGATGGAGACAAGATGGTGCAGGTACAGAGAGCCGGCGACATCGAGGTGGTCATAACTCGTGAGATGGTGGGGGACGGACTGCGTATTGTAAGTCTACGTTTCATTATCTATGATTATACGTAACGTATAGGACATCTCTGTGCTATCATATAACAAATGCCTATGCTTCACGAAGTGACAAAAGGCTTATCTACGTGATAATATGTCTATGTTTCATTACGGAACGTATAGGTGTCACATGATGTATTGTGGCCTCGCTACATGTGACTATGTTAGAGAAATACTGTCGTTCGGCGTACAGCACTACTGTCACCGATAGATCAGTCGAGATTCAGGAAGCATAGGTTGTAAGTGAACAGCCAACTGTTCACGCGGCTCTATGTAACCACACGAATCCGAAAAAGTAGCGATTGAAATTTGTAGACTTATGTCCAATATAATTATAAAACCGGATCGCCAAACGGTGTTGGCGTGGGGCGGCAACTGCCTGGGTTTACTCAGAAAATTCTGTGGGGCGTGAGCATAGCTAGCACATACCAAGGAGCTAAATATAACTATTATATTAGTTATTATAAATAGTTATATTTAGCTCCTTGGCACATACTAGAGCGCCGGCATGGTTTCCTAAATGTGTATTGGCGCGCTGGGGTTTTAAAAACCTGTTCTGGGGGAATATATGTTTCAAATAACCGTTTTAGATTTCACCGTCTAACAGGAACCATAGCAGGGTTTTGAGAGCGAGGGATTTTGAGAGCTTTTGGAAGGGATTAATCATTTTAGAGGGAGGTTACAAGGCGACTCTGGGAAAGACTCATCACTCGAGATTACTATGAGGTTTAATGAAGGAGAGAGGAAAGGGAGGGAGGACGGGAGGGGTTAGTGAAGAGAGATCAGCATTGTTCCTGATTACTGTTCAGACGTTGTTTCCGATTACCGTTTGTACGTTGTTTCTTATAATAATTACTATTTGTATGTTGTTTCTGTACGGCTTCCTCTGTTCTAATCTGTAAGTAGAAACAGATTTTTAACCTATAGATGAAACCATTCTCACAATTTATCGTTGCAGACGATTAAGTCAGGAGCTGTCGTCTGCGTGAGAGTTTACAAAAGCATCTAGACTTCAAGCTTGCTATAGTACCATCCAGCACGGCGTCTGCTTTCTCACTGACGCACTCACCGATCGAGTGGGCGCAACTAGTTAGACAAGTTTACTCCACGTATAGCGTCGGTGTACGTCAGAAAACCCCAAATAAAATTATGCATTGTACATCGGTAGCATGAGCAAGCACCCCTTATAATCTCCGCCTCGCGTTCATAGCTATATACTAGTGTATAGAGAGAGGTGCGCGCCCACCAACCGGCTAGCATTATTGTGTTTTGTTCCGCAAGTACCGAGGGCAGCAGGGGCAAGCTATGTTTCGTCGTCATGTTTTCTACGACTTTATTATGCATGTTCCACTATCGTAGATATACATGAGTTCAAAATGCAAATATAGGCGTGGGTATACGCTATGGGGCACCGTTGAAAACTTTTGGAGCTTTTAAATTTCGCGATAATGTGTACGCACACAATGGATACACACGCGCAGACGTGAAACCTTTGTTCGGTAGGCTATTGAAATTAATGAATCATCCAGGAAATATGTTATTGCGTATAGCCTGATGCAATGACTAATCTATTGTATCGCGCAGGTGTTGTGGACGCGCATAACCTACTAAAACTACGTACACCTGTATAATAAAGCTTTTTTTGTCTGGGGATTTTCTCCAATATAAATCTGGGACAAATACTCACGGATAAACTTTTGAACGAGTACCAGTAAAACACACGACAACCAATTGGGAGAAAAGAAAAAATGAATATACTAAGTGTAACAAATTTTAATAATAATTGTATAAAGTTTCGATTATGTTTTTATTGCTACAAGGGAATATAAATAGGTATTTGATTAGCGCATGCATATGCTGACGTTTGAATTTGTACGTCACAAACGGAAATCTTTATGCTGGATTTGAACATGGTCTTTTTCACAAAAACTGTAATTTTTACATTCGGCGAGGACGAATAAAAATATCTCGAACATATTTTCTGCATCGGTTGACGTATCGTATACCACCATGCACCTTACAAACCATAGTTACAAACTGACGATCAACATCCTTTGTCAATATCGTCGCGCCCTCGTGTGGGCATTTGGAGCAGGAAACCCTGCCAAAGCAAGTATTGGAGCGTCAATACTTTCTTTATTTTACCGTATAACTAATTCTTGTAAGAATTAGTTACGCGATGATGTGTAATACTACATTAATTGATGCTGCTTTTGCATGAAATATCTATAAATCTAATCAACTAAACTGTATATACTCAAAATCATATGTTACAAATTCATTTTGCAAGTAACAGGGGCATGTGTTTGAAATTCAAATGCAATTTCATACTCCTTTATTCGCAAAATACACAATACAAGTACACCACAATTAAATAAAACACTTGAAACGCAACTTGTCCCTATCGATTCAATACCGAGAAATGTTCCATGTGCAACTACTAGAATAATCAATTACACTTCATTTATATACTGTAATCTTGTTTACTCCACGTGCCATTTCAAAAATCAAATGTATCTACTTGAAAACCTGGATAAGTAATGAATTCAAGAAAAGTCTGAGATGATGACAAATCGAACGACCAGGCCCTACATTAGAATCGTAGTAAGCGCGGTATACAAACCACAAATCTGTTGCGGACTGTTCTATTACACTGTGGGAAAAGACAGCTAATGTTGCATCATCATGCCCCCCCTACGTGCATCACACGTTAATTTTCCTACAGCTGATATAGGCACAGCAGACAAGTGCACGTAATGTAGATATCTTTTGTTTAAGGCGCTTGGACACAGTCACAAAAACAACAAAAAGATACTGACGATAACAACAGCGACAGAATAGGATGGCGCTCGTGACGATGAAAATGGTGACGATTATTAATAAACGATCTGATAGCAGTCGGACAATATATCTAGCAAATGGTGGGAAAGCTTTATCTGTGATCAATACTGGAAACTTCTCTTCGTTTGGATGTCGTCTAATATCTGCTGGAGTTCATCATCTTCAAAACGCCCTTCCAAGCTAGAATGTACACAAACACGATAGATTTGAATTACTTTCCCTTTTAAAATTGACCTGCATGAAATTATGACTTACATGAGCAACATTGATAAGAAATCTACATTAGAAGATCGATCTTTGGCCTCTATATTCTGGCTGTTTATTTTCACCATTACCCTATCCTCTTCATGAACAGTGACGAGTATTGAGCTCTCGAGATATCACAAGCAACTGATGCTGATGGCACTGTATAGGTGTCATCTCATTACAGGAAAATGAAGACTATAGAGCAATGTACACAGTACCTGGGAATAAGTGCCTTAGCTTCCTCTGCGTTTTCGGGGCACAGGTTTGCTATGGATGCTAGCTCAAACTTATGAAGCTTCTTCTCCTGTAGTGATCTGAAATACACATAGATAGAGATAAGAAATTATAGAGATAGATGAGCCAATAGATAGTGTTGATCTAAGCTGCTAGAATAGGAGGCTTCACTGGCTGCATGCTATAATTCTACGCCGTACAAAGCCCAGGGTATAACGGGCCTATATAGGCTCAGCTGATATATAAACTCACATGCTATGTATTTTTCACACATGCATACATCGTGATTTAGTATAAAATATACATTCAGCATTATATGAGAACAACCCTCAGCATGGCATGCCCCTGCTGCACAGTACTTAAATAAATATAGGCTTTACAATAGAAACAGATATTCACTTGCCCATTTACCCATTTCGAACCTTCTGTCAGATTTGCTCACTCACTCTCTACATACAGTCAAATGAAACCTGTGTTAGCAGATAACACGATAAAGCAGACACACATGTATAAAGAAAACTTAGAATGATAGAAGAACATTTAACTAAACTGCCATTTGTCTTTGACAGTTCTTTGACTGTGTGACAATCCTATGCCAAACGATTGTCCTCCATTGGTCACACGTACTTCCTAACGGCGGCGATCGTCTCACGATTCTTGAACTTGCTGAATCTCTCTGTGTAGTTGAAGGTCTTCATGAAGACGTCAGACAGCTCCTGCTCATCCTCAGCATTCTCGTTGTTCGACTTCCTGTGCTCCAGCAACATGAACACCTCGGAGATGAGCAAGGTCTCCGCATTCTCAAACTCTGCAACAATATAATTTCTTCACTGTTTCTGCCGTTTTCTGGGTCTCCACTCACGTAGGGATGGTAGTCACAATGTAAGGACTAATGCTGCATAATCTAAGTATCTGATGATGTAGTATCATATATGTAGGCTATCATGGCATCTCTCTCTTGTTGTATATATCTATCAATCTATATAAATATATGTATTTCATTCATGTGGCAATCAAAGTTTTTATGCGAATGAGAATGATAAAATAAGCTGCATTTCGTCATTATCCATTTGAAATGTTATGGGGCACACACCGGCATAGTTCAGCTTTTAGCAGACCAGATGGCGGAAAGTGGCGTCACATTCTCACTGACCGTGGATTGGCTATACAGAGACCAGTGGTATCCCTCAGATGTTTTGTTCAGAAAATGTTTTTTTACATATTAATATTTTCAGTGGTAAAACTAAGAAATAGTAAACCAATAGAAAAGTTTTCAGTGGACTCGTGCAAGCACCTATTCTAGAAGTTATTGATTAAAGGAATACTTGACTCTAATTTCTAGGGTTATTTTCAGTTGATTATATTAGGTTAAAATTACGTTACATTAAATATTTCATGGTTCAATCACCATTAGAAATTTTTTTTTTAATGTTTTAAAACTAACGACTAGTTTGATTACAATGACAGTGGCGCCACTCAAAGCGTTTGCCACGTAGCGAGATGCAAGAATGTGGCTAACTCTGTGTGTGATAAGTTGTGGCTAGGTCCTAGGACACAGCTTACTTCATCAGTTTATCATCACAGGCACTTGGAACGTCTCAATTAAAAAATTAAGGTAAATAATTACGAAATGTACCAGTATTTACTACCAGTCTTTTAATGTTTCTCTACTCTATCTCGCCTATAATCACCTGTAAATGCCAGTCAAATGCTCATCTGCAACACACAAGTACACCGCACGACCGTGCTGTGCACAAACAACATGAATAAGAGAGCGGGTAGGAAAGCGTGATCGCAAAATTCGCTCGATGCTCGCTTTATTTCACACGATCACAGAACGAAAACACATCCAATGGCTTCCATCTCGATATCTATGTGTACATAATTCACTTGTTCGAATTATAACTCTGACCTTTGTCAGCCAGAGATATAAGAAGACCTTTGTCAGCCAGAGATATCTCGTGAAATCCTGCAAGAAATGTTCTCTCTGTGAACATGTAAATAAAGAGGACGTATCATCTAAAAATCCCTAACGGCGCTACTTTCGATCGATCGCTGTAGTCGTGTGCGTGACGTCATGCCCGCGTGCATTGTGCTTGGCTTGGCGGGCCTCGAAACGTAGCTCGGAGGCCGGCAGCAGCTCATCCCGGCATGCAATGCGCCCCATTACTCGTGTATTTATAAACAGACATCTCGTCCTCTTTACATTTTCACGGAAAGAACATTTCCTGCAGGATTTCACGAGATATCTCTGGCGGGAGTAGGTAAGAACAAAGGCCAGAGTTATAATTCGAACAAGTGAATTATGTACACATAGATACCAAGATGGAAGCCGTTGGATGTGTTTTCGTTCCGTGATTGTGTGAAATGAAGCAAGCGTCGAGCGAATTTTGCGATCCCGCTTTCCTACCTGCTCTCTTATCGAGTTATTCATGTTGTTTGTGCACAGCACGGGCGTGCGGTGTACTTGTGTGTTGCAGATGAGCATTTGACTGGCATTTACAAGTGATTATAAACGAAATAGAGTAGAGAAACATTAAGACTTTGGTAGTAAATACATTTCGTGTTTACCTTTTTTTTTGAGACGTTTCAAGTGCCTGTGTTTATAGGCGCGTTCACACGAACGTTTTTGGCCCGAGCCTAATTAGGCCCGCGCCAGATTTGGCTCGAGCCGAGCGTTCACACGGACGTTTTTTGACCCGAGCCTAATTAGGCCCGCGCCAGATTTGGCTCGAGCCGAGCGTTCACACGGACGTTTTTGGCCCGAGCCTAATTAGGCTCGTGCCAGATTTGGTCCCATCGAAAACGTCGGACCAGGCCCGAGCCAAATTTCAGCACCAGCTTTCGGCGAGCGGTAGAATCGGTTGAGCGGTAGATGCCGCGAGTGTCAAACTTGTACCTTGACGAAATAAAGTCCAAAACAGTATAAAAATTCGAAAAATTTGATCAGGATGCACGTTTTCAAGATTGATAATTAAACTCAGAACGTAAGTAAACACTCTCAATCGTAAACAACGCCATCTCGCGACATACTGCCAAAGACAAAGTATCTGTGAGATATTTGTGCAATAAAATTTATTTGAATTTGAATTTGACAGACAGTATTCACTTGCGTACGTGTGAACGCTCCGACTCAAACCGGCCCGAGCCAAATTTAGTCCATTTGGCTCGAGGAAAAACCATGACCGTGTGAACGCGACTTAAGTGGAATGCCCATGCCACTTAGGCTGGCCATTCACTGCACGTGTCCTAGCTCTAGTCACTAATAGGCCGCTTACATTAACTGGCCGCTGGCTATAACAGACCGACCCATGGGGCATGCGATGGACGCAACTACTCCCACGCGCAGTTCAGCGGGAACTATGTATTTCCGCATGGTGGAGGGGTGGGCGGGTTGTGTTTGGTTGTGGACAAAAACATGGTTGTTGTCAAGTAACAAATTAATAATACTATTACTAAATAGTAATTTAAATGTTCATCTTTCATGACAAAACTAATATTACAATCTCTTTTGATCGGGCTTAATTTGTTAGCTTGACAACAACAATGTTTTGTCCACAACCACCCCAACCCGCCCGACGCGCTGCCACACGTGAAATACATAGTTCCCGGCTGAAACTGCGGGCTGCTCGCAGCGCGCGCCAGGAATGGCCAGTTTGAAGTTCGCAATCGAATGTTTGTTCAGCAAGAAATTACCGGCAAGTATACCATTGCAACGAATAGTTTAGAGTCAATTTTGTAAGCGGCTATAACTTAAGACACTATTCCACTCGGAATAAGAGGCATTATCTGCCTACCACAGACGTTTTATAGTCGGTATAATCGGGGATGAAAGTTGGTCCATGCGCATGCCCCATGGGTCGTCTAACAGCCCAGCGCCGTTAATGTAAGCGGCTATAGTTTACTAGGCTGTTGTGCGCAAACTTTGGAAGTCTTGCACAAACTTGGAATTTCACAGCGAATCCGCAGTCTTTGGGGCAACGCAATCTTGAGATTGGGCAAACCATTAGAGACGTAAACAGAGGCTTGCACGACGAACATATGATTAATTAGATTTCAAATGTTATATCATAACTATAGAAGGTCGTATACCTTCTTGGGGTCCGCTCAATGTGTTTGGCACGCTTCTGTATAAATATTTAAATGATTAATAATATAATTGAGTAAGATTTAATATGAGATAAATCTCTTCCTAGTTTGGCAGCACAACGCACACCACGCAAACAACACTCGCTATGACTCATCGAGCGGTGAACTAGGGGCGTCATGACTAAGGGAAATCCGGCCAGTTTGGGCGCAGGCACAAATCGCTGGCAGCAATCTCAGAGATTGTGCAGATTCCAAAGTTTGGGTAGCAACTAGTATACAATAATAGTAACCCAAACGGGCCAAGAGAGGATGGGTTACCAAAGCGAGCCTTCCTATTTGTGCGGAGCAATGCACGAGTGAATCACTCGGCAGGTTTGCTGGGTGTAATTTTCAGAGACCTAGAACTTCCAAACTGGGGTTTATTCTAAATACAGACGAACCTTTCTCCAGCTATCGGGAACTTAGCTAATGTATCGGCAATACTCTGTATTAAACTAATAACACTGTTACAAAAATTCGAAGTGGACGAGCTGCGGCCCCGAATTTACTGAGGCGCCCATTCTGTTAGACGCATGTGACGTACTTCCGTTTGAAAGAGCGGATTCACCGACCTAAATCGGAGGCGCTGAGTTTGCCGGATCGCTAAATGGCGGCGACTGGGAAATGCGTACGTCACTAGGTCAACAGAATGCGGGCTCAGTAAATCGCCGCTCGTCACTTCGAATTATTTTGTAAGCAGGTTTATATTAGTTAATACAGAGTATTGCGATACATAGTAAGTTCCGCAGAATAGGCGAGAAAGGTTCGTGTTTAGAATAAACCCAATTGGGTAAGTTCTAGTGCCTGCTGAAAATACACCAGCAAACCTGCCGGCGAGTGATTCAGTTACCTCGTGCATTGGCTCCGCACAAAAGGATAGCTCGCGTTGTAAGCGCCTATCGCTTTCCCTTTTTCTGGGGTTTTTTTTGGGGTTTTTTTTTTAACCAATTATTTTATCTAAGGGTACCACATAGCTGCTAGTACTATAGCCGCTAGCATGAAGCTGCCAGCTGGCTATAGACCGACACCATGGGGCATGCAATGGAACCAACGTACTCGACAGCCAGTCAGCGGAGCCTATGTATTCCGCATGTAGAGGGGTGGGCGTGGTTGTGTTGCAGTTGTGGACAAAAACATCGTTGTTGTCAGTAGAGCAAATTAAGCAAATAGTAATTTGTTAATCTTCATTGACAAAACTAAACTATTACAACTCTTGATCGGCTTATTTGTTACTTGAGACAACAACAATGTTTTTGTCCACAACTCCCCGACGAACACCGGGCCGCACCGCCTCCACATGCGGAAATACATAGTTCCCGCTGACTGGCAGCTAGTCTGCAGCGGCCAGCCAAGAACAATGGCCGTTTGAAGTTCGCGAAATCGAATGTTGTTCACGAAAGAAATACCGCAGTATACGGGCATTGGCAACGATAGTTAGAGTTCAATTTTTAGTAGCGGCTATAACTTGAAGACATATTCACTTCGGATAAGAGCATTAATTGCCTAGCCACAGACGTTTTATAGTCGGGTATAACCGCGGGATAAGTTGGTCTATTGCATGGCCCCATGGGTCGTGTCTATAGCGCCAGGCGGGTCAGTTCAAATGTAAGCGGCTATACGTCTAAGCATAGGCGTAGCTCCAGGAAACGGTATTGCTAGGGTTAGGAATACCGTTTCAGATCTTGCCCACAAATTCGCTTGTAGTTGGCTCGATACAACCATCGACCACAGCGCTAGCGTCACAGGTAATAGCTCAACCACGAATGGCAATAAACCTGCTGGCTTGCTCGCGCGATAACTGGCGCAGTACTGGCGCTAGCATATTTATTGAGTTAATGCCCGTTTTATCTGAGATGAATTGGATCAAAACAACCAGGATAGCCGCCAATGTCTGCCCATGTTCAGTAGGCAACTAAAAATCGGGCAATGACGCTGATTTCCACAGTGGCGTGGCGCAAATACAACGTAAGTAGATATCTTCGGCAATGATAATATTAAGTTGTTGTAGAATTTGACGATTCCTGGTTTTCAATGTTTTAATATTATATATATAGCGAGTATAATACTGGATGGGCTTTTTTATGGCTCCGTGCCAAACGCAAAGTAGGCAACGCTATGGTATGTTATGTCGTTTGCGGGGTTTTTCCGGCGTGCCGCCCTTGCGAAAATCATGCGCACATTGCAAACATGGGCGTTAGGGCGGTTAGTTGAAATTCGTATTTGGCTCTTTGAAATTTAGCACTGTGCAGCAGCAAACTGAGGTATTCAGTTTTAATTAACAAACGCTGGAATACTATAAGGTGAAGGTTAAATTTGATACAACAACAAAGGCAGAAAAATGCTTAATATCATTTATTTGAGATCTACGTAATTGTTCGGTATTATTTGTAGCCAGCTACAAAAGATTTTTTCAATGGATGGATGTCAGGCGGTGTATTGACGTTAGTCACACAGCCTGGTCGGGTTAGAGCTAGGGTACAACAGAGCTACACGTGTCCATGTTGACTCGAGTATGTTTTAAATATAAGGCAGGGTTATGAGGGAAATCCACACAACGATACACCCAGTACATGTAGTACACGTCGTACGTTCATATAGCATACACCTAATATAATTGCCTTTTGGAAACTGTAACGAAGACGCATCTTCTTCTATCAGATCGTTCGGCAGCGTCACAACACCGGTGGCCATCTTTGTGTGTTTGCTAATGATTGTACAGTGCTGCCACGGCGCTGCGTACCTTGAAAGTGACGTCATACAAACGTCACTCGACCACAAACAAGTCAGTCATGGCGTCTTCGGACGAAGAAAAACTCTCCCAACAAAAGGAAATTTTAAATTTACAGTCACAAGAAGTGGATGAAGAGTATAGTAAGCTGTCAGCAATACTACCATGGGATAAGTTCTCAAACTGGATTAATTGCATGTGTGTGATCACGTTCGATTTGGAGCTAGGGCAGGCTATGGAACTTATTTATCCTGGACACATAAAATTGACTGAGCGAGAAAAGTCGAACATTTGTTATTTATCGTTCCCAGACTCAAATTCGGGATGCATGGGTGACACACAATTCTCTTTTCGAATACGGCAGTGTCCGGGAAGAGTAAAGCCAATGTGCGCGTCACACATAAACTACAATCACAACTGTCCCGTGGCGCTGCAAATAGACCCCGGACATTACTTTGGATACGTGTACTTTCGACAAGTGAGAGATCATACGTTACGCAGAGGATATTTTCAGAAGAGCGTCGTCATCATAAGCAGACTGCCATTTCACAATCTATTCATGCACATGGTCGGCGTCATAGCTCCCGAGTACTTTGACAACGGCGAGCCGAGCATCGAGGTTGCGTGCCACGACATCGACCAATGGCCGACACCTGAAGCCGGCGCTACACTCAACCTGCCCCTCATGGGCACTGTGCTGCAAGTTCGTGTTCCCTCCCACTCTGACAAACCGGGACTTTCCCAGAATCTCGTCGTGACGACGGAGTCTGCGTTTTCCTCGCCGACGATAATGCCAAGTGTGAACGACTCTGACGTCTTTAAGTGTCTGTTCCCGATCCTGCCTCACATCCAGCTCATCTGGGAGCTCGTGCTCACGGGAGAACCAGTTGTCGTCATGGCAAACTCTCCGACCGTCTGCTCGGAGACGGTGCTCGCGCTCGTCAGCATGATCCTGCCACTGCGCTTCTGCTCCGACTACCGGCAGTTCTTTACTATCCACGACAGCGAGTTTAAGGAGTACACGAGCCGCGCGCAGGCGCCGCCGCCTGTCATACTCGGCGTCACGAACCCGTTCTTTGCGAAGACGCTGCAGCACTGGCCACACATCGTTCGCATCGGCGATCATGTCCCCGCGACGTCCAACGTCAAGCCGCACAAGCTGAAGAAGGGCGGCAGCCTGAAGACGCTCGACTCCAAGCCGGGAGTGTACACGCGCTACAAGCCGTTCCTCAACAAGGACAAGGCCGTGCTGAAGCGGCTCGTGCAGGGCATCCAGACGAACCGGCCGTCAGAGGTGCAGAGCGCGATGCTGCGGCGGCACTTCCTCGAGGTTACGCAGAGCTTCATGATCCCGCTCGAGCGCTACGTCGCGAGCCTCATGCCGCTGCTGCGAAACATATCGCCCTACAAGGGCACTCCGAGGACACGGCCGTTCGACCCGGACGAGTTCCTGAAGTCGCTCGACTTCTCCGGGCCACAGCTGACGACGGGCATCAAGGGCGACTGGATCGGACTATACCGGCGCTTCTTCCGCTGCGCGAATTTCGAGGGCTGGTACAACACGCGCATTCGCGAGGTGAACCGGAAGCTACAGCTGCTCCACCTGGAGGCGATGTCGGACGCGGACCTGCAGTCGTGGGTGAGCGGCCGTGAGGAGGTGGAGGTGGTCGACCTCATACTGAAGATCAAGGAGAAGCTGACGACTGCGTCCAGCAATCATCTACCAGTCAGCAAGGACGTAGGAGAGAAGCTGTATAAGCAGATGGATGCCGTGATATACACGTTGCCGGAAGACCTACGCGCGGTTCTAGGTAGTAACTAGGTGTCCTGATGTGTGTACTGATAGCAGATAGCGGCTTCGGAGCGTGACGCTCGCATGGGATGAATGCTGACATATACGCGCTACCAAAAGATCTATGCGCGTTCCTAGGTAATAACTAGATGATGTGTGTGCAGGCCACAGATAGCAGGGTTGGTGGGTGGGTGTGCGTGAGAGTTGGGCTTGCGTGGGGTGGAAACTTTTACGTACCTGCTACCATAAGACACCTTATGCACTGCGCCAGGTAGTAAATAGGGGCACGCGACTGCAGAAAGCGACGTCAATCGCTACGAGAGTAAGTTACGTGAGTATGAAGCAGACTGACTGGTCTCCCTGCCAAGTGATTACACAACCCAGTAGCAGGTGATTAGCTATTTAAATGTTAAGCATTGGAGAGCAAGGTCATGTATTCATACAAACATCATCAGTGTTTACATGCATGTGTAGGTATGTACATGTGTGTGTATGTATGTTAACAGATGGTGGTTTTACTGTATATATTCACTGATATTAAATATTTTATATGTCCCTGAACGTGTGTGCCAGTTGCACGTGTTGTCACCGAGAAAAAAAGTGCCTGTACACTTATCTACTGAATATAGTATGCTTACTGCATTTTTATTCTTGCCAGGTGTCCGTTGTGTGAAGCTGTCACTGTGCAGGCCGTTTTGCTAGGGCCATTAATGCCTTAACCTTGTGTCACTGCCTCACAGTTACCTTGTTTGGTATTTGTCATACTACTGCACACCACTCATATTACATGTATTGATCTTGCATCACACGACTAGTCAAGTTGTATTTGCACAAGCATACAGATAGAAGACGTTTTTTGCTTGCCATGGTTTGGATTCTTGCCATGTGTGGTTGTGTTGTATTCAGTCTAGTGAAAAAATTGGTTCTTCATTCCCTGATTTATCATCTCATGTTGCTAATTGAGTGAATGGGTTTAGAAATATGATTAATTTTATAGTCTGATGAATAATCGATAGTGTAAGCAGCTCGTGATGGAAATGTGAACGAATATTTTATGCATGGAAGTTCTTGTAACAAATGGTGAGATTTTGTTGCCGTAAGATGCTAGATGGCGCCACCAGTCAAGCGCGGTTATGCATGGTCAGAGCACGTATCAAACTCCACGACAGATGGCGCTCTCGCTCTGGCTCAATTCTACTGAGTATTATCCTGGGTGTGGGAAGGGGCACTGCATGCAGTTTGAGCACGTATATGATATCAATGCTGATATACAGTACGTGCTTTGACATGATGTCAAGTGTGTATTAACGTTTGATTAGAGAAATCGATTACTTAGTACTGATGTTTTTTTCTCACATGTAGTGCAGTACCAGAGTTGAGCAATATCCATTGTGGTATCGTGGTAAACGCGTAATATATGAGTGTACTTAATTACTGTATACAGTTCATATCATTTTGAGATAAGCTATGTATAGCGATATGCGTCAACCCAGTTTCCCCCAAGTGCTATTCTCATTTTAGCTTTTGTTTTGAAGCGAGAGCGGGAGAAAGAGCGCGAAGGAGAAAGAGAGAGAATGGGAGGAGGTTCAGACGAGAATCTTGACTAAGTTATCCTGTCCCATTCGATTAGCTTGGGCAGATATTGTGATCGTAATTCATTTCTGTGCCCCTTTATCAACTGCAAGTGAATACAAAACATATTTTCTTCAACTCGGCATTTACGAATTGTATCTTTTCATATTCGGTGAAGCGTTTTGCCAGTAGAAAATGTGTAAGAGAGGTGGCGCCACTGCGCGGTACACGATCATGGAGCGTTTCTGATAGGACTTATTGTTGTTCTGCATTTTCGGCTTTAGCCCACCCAACATTCTGGGTTAAATTGTACTACATGTATATCCTAGCAAACCGATTTGGAATAGTGAACGGTGCTATTTTGTTTCCGGTTTACACGACTGTTTAATCATTGTTGAACTCAAGAGCGCAAGAAAACCCAGAATTAAAGTTTTATATGATATAATTTATTGTCTTCAGTAAACATATCATCATACTTCCTTATATTCTGTGAACACTTTTATATACAATGATATAAGCATTGTAGATGTGTCTAGTCTAGTAAAAATGCATCATAGTAGATAAACAATTGCTGTTTTACATATGGCAACTACAAAAAAATAGTCCAATAACGACAATTTTTGCAGTAAATACATGTGTAACATGTTAACGTTTTCCAAAGTAACCTAAAAACATTCTTAGTCATCTCGATAACTACTGGTCACGATAAAATGAACGGGTACATCGTTGGTGGTGATGTAAGCTTGGTGTATAGAGTAGCATTCGCTGATGACACTCGCTACTCTTTGGTGATACACTGCTACTTGTGTTGCTGCTGCCGTTCACGTGGCGCTGCGCACTGTTCCTGTCTCTGCGCACTGTTCCTGTCTCTGCGAATTGATCGTCACTCTACTTGCTTTGCTGTTTCTGCAAAGATAAATGGTAGGAAAACATAAATACACATGTCTCTTTTATTCTCGTAACGAATATTTATAGTTCGATGTCCTCCGTATCAGTGTGAGCAGTTCGCAGTTGAATATAATAATAATAATTATAATAATCACAGTTAATCTTAATCACAATTGAAGTTATCAAAGCTATCGTAAGATAACTTACCAGCAACGAGTAGACGCATCGCTTCTCGCATTGGCTTCTAGAGCGCTGTGCGGGCGTGCGGGCGCGCACGCACGATCTGTTATTGGAGCCCTTGATGCTCCGTCGTAGATCCGTCGTCTGCTGCGTCTCCCGTGGTTACCATGGACGCCAGACGAACTTCTCTTGCTTCGTAACGAGGCTGACGGCTGTGTGTTCGGGGAACACCGGCTGCTGAACCACACGTGTCTGCATTGTCGGCTGAGCTTCGGGCTTCATCCGCGAGGCGGCGACAGCGGACAGGTGGTTCATCATGCGGCCCTGCAGGGAGGAGTCGACGGTGGCCATGTAGTGCGAGACGGCGCCGGCACACTCAGAGAAGCCAGCTCGGTAGCGGTCGCTGCATGCGAGCTGAGCGCCGCTGCTCACGTTCCTCATGTACTTGACGGTCATCTCAAGGATATCTGCCTTCTCCAGCTTGGAATAGAGGGAAGGATCCTTGTTCAGTCCGTGCAGGACTAGAATCTTCAGCTCCTCCATGCTGCTGTTGATTCTGTCTCGTCTCTTCTTCTCGATCATTGGCTTCAGAACCTGAGAACACAAACAATAAACAACTATAAGTCTTCATGTTTAAAACTAAACTGAAGCGCGTCTTAAAATTATATACTAGTAGTAGGCACACAAACATTCATTGAGCATAAAACGAAATGGTTGCAAAAGCATTGTCGAACTCGTACGTACCTTTCTCTGAGCCTTCTTATCCATGTGCATGGGGTTAAAGTAGAGGCTGGCGTTGACTGCTGGCATGTTTGCGTTCGTAAACTTCTCGGCTGCGCTGCTGTGCTGTTGCGATGATGTGCTGCTATGCAATGCTGCTAGCTGACTGATGGCATCTCCGGCCATGCGCCGGTATTTATGCAGTGGTACGCCAGGTGTGCCTTACGCTCAACTCGTGTGAAAGATTAGGGGAGCGCGGTTCCCACGACCGCCTCCGCCAATCACCGCGCGCCTGCCATTGTCTGTCGGCAGTAAGCCTCAAAAAGTAAATAAATTTCGCCTCGTGCGACTTTCCTGTTGCAAGTGTTTCCCACGCTCGGGAGCCCGCCGTCCGTGACAGGTAAACAAAGGGAGGGGACAGCAGGCCGATGTTCGTGTGCGCGGACCGTGTCTCAGACTCGTGCCGACGGTGTTCTATTCCCACGCCACACATGCCTGCACACCTCGCCGAGGAAGAAAAAACAGCGCCGTCCATCTTTGTTCGCGCCCGCGCAGCGGAACACCTGCACACGCATTCCCACGCTGCGACAGCCAATCAAGCGCCCGTACTATGCTCGCGCGTCCGCGTCATGCGCGATGATTGGTCGAGTGCCAGCAGTCGCGGGCAAGAAAGCCCGAAATGACTAACAACTTGATAGCTCTCTAATCGCTACTTTTCACTTCCGTGAATCAGGGGTGTATCATGTGCGCTCGAGGCCCGCGTGTGTGTGTGAGTGCGAGCGCACGTGTTCAGCTGGCGTCAGCCTCTGCCCCACCATGTGCAACAATGTGTGCGCGCCGTCCCTCGCCTAAGCCCCTGTTGCACGCGCTTACAAAGGACAAGCGATCGCTTTCTTTCACCTCCCGCGCAACTTGTTGCGCGGCGCAAGAGCATACGCAGCGCATTGATGACGTAACCACTGCCGCCGGTTGCGGAAGCGGGAGTAAATTCGTGGCGAAATAATTAGAATGTTTTCCTATAGGAACATTTAGACAACGGAGTAAAAATGTACACCGCACTCTCCTGCCGCGTGGAGACCCGTGAATAGCAGATAAACGGTAGCGGGCGTGCGCGTTGCGACAATGCGAATAGGATTGCACAATCAAACCTTCTTTATATTACAGGGCGTAACTATTGGGGCTGGTTTAAGCGTAAGCAAACCGGACACGCCTTGCGTGCAATTCTGCAACTATACCGGCTTGACGCGCATATATATATATATATCGGTGTTTGTGTTGCCTCACGTTTTTCAGTCGGCTCTAATCTTACATCACACCCTGGGCTCGTGTTTGTAGAAACAGGAAATCCCTACAATACGAACGCCCACAACATTTCTCCGAGGGCGCCGTACGTTGCACCATGGCGGGTTTTTGTATACGGTCGATGTTACGTAACGTGAAAGTGTCGGCGATTCAGGGGCGCGTTAATACTATCGTGTTTTATTCTTTGGGCGGTCTGTGCGAGCGTAGTAGGCTCTCGTAGCTAAAAGATTACGAGTATGCCTTCTTTGTACTCGTCTTTCACACTGTGCGTGCGCCCGTGAAAGTGAGAGATAGAGAGAGAGACGAGGGAGCATTTGTGGAAGGAGAATGAAACTTGTCGAGTCTGGTATTTCCTGTGTTTAGTTCTCGTGTGTGTGTGTGCATGTGTGTGCCCACGGTGTCATTTCTCTACCTCATTGTTTGTCTGCTACCGCGAGGCAGGGTCGACCAGAGTCCCTTTATTTCTAATATATTTTAGCGCTGATGTGATGCTCACTAGAGGAATGGCTGTGGTCGGGCGCCACCTCGCGGTCGTCAATTTTTAAATGGCTTGCACGTCTTCCTCCCTCCCTCTCTCTCTCTCATTCAATCCCTATATATATATATAAGGTGTAAATAATCTCAAATGAGTTTGACACGTATTTTCCCACGTTTTTACCGACTTTCCACTTCAAGTTTTGGCATAAATGAAACCAAAAATATGTATATTATTGAGCTTATTCCGTACCTTTGTTATTCGCCTACCTTGTACTGAAATCGGATTATAGCTATTTATACTGTCGTATTGCTGAAAACTGTCATCAAACACGGTGTTTATTAAGAGGCTTTCGGCATGTTGTCACATCTATGTAGGCGTATTTTGTGGAGTGCTATTGTCGACGGCTCAAATCTTCCGCGTGCGACTCGGCAGGGATTGTAATGCTTCGATCTTGCGAGCGAGAAATATCATCAATAACTTGTTTTATTAGTTTGCAATGCGTCTGTACGGTCTAGTAAGATGTGTATTCGCCTGCGAATACAGTGCGATTATGTGCATACGATATTTGGACACACACATGCGCGTACTACGTACATGATTGTTAAGGGCATTATGCCTCATATCAATAGCGTATTAAGAAAGCCTTCTTAATACGCTCTTGCTCATATATAGCTCTCTTCTTGTTTGTTTATTTCTATACTTATATTTTAGTGTTCTAATAAACGCAGGATAATTTATTTGAATGACGTCGCGCCTACTAGATTTTTATTTGTTATTGATTTATGGGTTTATTTATCTGTATGAATCCAATCAATATTAGCCTATAATACTAATAACGCGTCGCCGGCCCTCGCGATGGCGATGACGTCACGCCGTGTATCGACATCTCCTCACGCATTGCCCTTGTATCTACGGGACGCGCGCACGCCTGCAGGGCACAGCCACCAGTCGTACGTATGGCCCTGCGAGCGTGCATGCGTCGGCGTGCGTGCGTGCATCGGCGTGCGTGTGCACGTGCTTGCTTGAATGTTTGTGCGCGTGCTTGCGCGCGCGTGTGTTGTGTGTGTGTGTGTGTGTGGTGTGGTGTTTGTGTGTGTTGTGTGTGGTGTGTGTGTGTGTGTGTGTGTGTGTGTGTGTGTGTGCGTGTGTGTGTATGATGAGTCACGCGGCTCGCGCCCTGCCGCGGGGCACCGATGGTAAACACGACAGCAGATGTTGAGGATCCGTTGCTCTCGCGGCGTGGGAATGCTACTTACCCACGAGTTCCCACACGGGTCGGTCGGCTGCCCGCACACCTGCCACCACCACCCGAATGCTGCCGTGCGACGCGCGCGCGCACACACACCCAGACAAATTTAAATACCTATAGACTTGATGAGAGCGCGGCGTGCGATGATAGAGGCGTAATCATATCGTTACCTCTCCGCGGATATGCGTCTCGCGGTGGAATATTTAAATAGTTGGCGATGATGGCCTATGCGGGAGGGAATTAACGTAAAAACTTGTCGCTGAACCCGCGGTGAATGAGAGAAAATTCGGTAATGTTAAGCCAATTATGATCATGGCTTATTAGTGGGTGATCACGTATGCGGGAGCTAGCTAGCCGTGATTACAGGGTTATCGCTGCGTTCATGCACGCGGGAGCTACTTGTGATAACGCGTACAAGTCTGTGTTTGTCGTGTGTTCTGCTGACATAGGCAGGTATTAGGGTGAGCAGTAGGGGTGGTAATGAGGCGGTACGTTCTCACCGGGTTCACGGGTAGATTCTTGACATGTCGGCTTATTGTAGGCGGCGAAAAATGCTCACGACTGCACGCCACGATATCGTTATTCCTTACGTGCAATAAAGCGTTTGCGTGTACATATGGTGTGCGTTAAAGTAAGAGTATATAGACAGGCGAATTAGCACGTGGTGTGTGTGTGTGTGTGTGTGTGTGTGTGTGTGTGTGTGTGTGTGTGTGTGTGTGTGTGTGTGTGTGTGTGTCAGTGTTATAGGACTCGAGGCCGGTCTTGGCCTCGGAGTGTAATGACTCGGACTCGAGCCCTCGGACTCGAAGACTCGGGTCGAGGCCGGCTCGAGGCCCACTACATACATATAGTACACAACTGTACATATTGTACACCGCAGTTTACAAGAATTTAAAACTAAAACTCTTAGGTTTTCTAGATACACGGGCTAATCTTGTAACGTTTTCAATGGCTCAATTAAGATTCTTGTCCTTTGGTTGAATATCTGCGTCACTTTGTCCCTTTGCGCGTTTTCTACCACTTCTTCTCTTCTTCTACACTTCGAAGGTATAGCCACTCTCTTATTTGGTTCAACAAGCCGTGTCATTCTCGTAAAACACAAATAGATCCGTTACTTTGACACGTTTCGTATGACTCGTGTCTCTGTGTTTTTCGGCTGACTATATACACTTTCGAATGTCTACGATGCAGTGTCGCAATTTTTTACCCTTTTTTCCCTTTTTCCCCCTTTCGCAGGAGCTGCACTCTCTTAGGGGAAAAAAATATATAAACTCGTCCGAGATTCTATAAAACAAAAGATTGCAGTCGCTCTTCATCTGTAGTGCTATGCTAATCACAGTAACTTAATTCTGGGCAAGATGAAGGGCTGATGTATCTCTACATATCATATATTAAAATATAGTTATATAATATATATATATATATATATATATATTATATATATATATATATATATACGTATATAATTTCTGCTAAACAAGGGCGCGCGCGAACGTATTTAATTTGCAGGGGGCAGAGCCAAAAAAGGACACGTTTTTTGGCTGGCGTCCTTTACGGCCATAATGCGTTTCCCGGTTACTATACGGTGAACAACATATATGCGTATCACGTATGCCTATAGCTACGTATCATGTATGCCTAGCTACCTCCGCCAAGGGTTGGCAGTATGTTATGTTTTCACCGGCGTGTGTTTGTTGGTTTGTGCGTTTGTTTGTTTGTGTACAGCCTAACTGAAAAAGTTATGGACGGATTTGTCAAAAAATTTCAGGATAGGTCAGAAATGGCTAACTTAGAATTGATTACATTTTGGTGGTGATCCGGATCCAATTAATTAATTATAAGTAATTAATAAAATTTTCAGGATAGGTCAGAATAGCTGTAACTTATAATTGCGTTACATTTTGGTGGTGATCCGGATCAATTAATTAATTAATTAATTAATTAATTTTCAGCGATAGGTCAGAAATGGGGTAACTTAGAATTGATGACATTTTGGTGGTGATCCGGATCCAATTAATTATAATTTTTTACAGTGAGAGAATTGAGCTGCCTTGGCGGAGGTCTGCGCTCTCCGAGTGCTCTAGTTTATTATGTATTTATTGAAGATAACATAATGAACATAATTAACATGATTAACATAAGAAGTCTACATAATTCATAAAAAAAGAAAGAAATTATAATTATAATAATAATAATAATGTGGGGGGGGGGCATGTGCCCCCCCCCCCCCCGGTTCCGCCGCCCTTGCTGCTAAACACGTTAACGATGGCATATTAATCCTTGAAATTCAGAAGAAAATCCTTTACTTTTAAACAGCTTTTGCCCCCTTCTAAGTGTAGCCCCCTTTCATCGGGGACCTTAGATCAACTCTTCGGCAATCTCTGATGCCACCCCTGTCTACTACATGGCAGGCATACGGCTATAGTAGCTCTACCTATGTAGCGAAGGGCCGCACGGGTATTAGATTCAACGCGTACGAACCCGGGCTGTATATGTTATGCTTTGCGCATGGCGAGACAATTACAGAGTCCCCTCGCGGATCATAACTGCAGAGCCAGAGCACGAGCTCACAAAGCCCCGATGAGTAAAGCTCAACCATCCATTCGCCGCTCTATAGACTACAATACGCATTCATTCACGCAGCGCGTACACCACGGACCCGAGAGTTTACCTTTTCTATTGCTATCGCACGATGACAATAGCGGAGTTCACGTGATTGGCAGACGCCGGAACGTGGGAACGAGTCTCGAGCGATCGTTCACACGGGTCGTAAGTCCGCCGGACACCTGCCGCCTGTCCGGGACGTCTGCCGGTATAAATAGGGGCGCATGGCAGACGGGCGGCACACATTCCTGAGACACCCACGCATCGGCACGCTTGCTCCTTTTCATACCAGCCCGGCCGTGCCATCAATCTAACAATGTTCAGCAAGACGAACATGGATAATCTGAAGAACACGTTGAAAGACGCGCTCAGAAAGGTAAGAAATCACGCGAATTTGATGCATGGTAACTGATTTAGATACGATATTATCGATATGATAGATCGTATATCTAATGACTTACCTCGTGCAATACTGTTAGAACATCTATATAATATCAGGAGTGAATATAATGACAAGAGCCGTTATGTCAAATTTGTCGAAAGAGTTCACCCCTGGTAATATTATTGTTTATAGATGTGTGTGCATATTTGTTTATGACTCTATACTGACACAATATATTTACGAGTAACTACCCAGTATAATGGAAATAAATGCTAAGAAAATTACGTGATTAAAACTTTCTTCAATTAATTTAATAATGATACCGTATGCGTAGAGTTAGTTGCAGCCACAGTATGTTGACGTCTGGTGGTTATGAAATCGGCGTTGAATTTCTTCGGAAATGTGTGAATGAAATCATTAATGAATTATTTCGTTATTGATTCACAGTTTCTCAAACCGAAGTTGCATAAGCACAAGAAGCGAGCTGACGTTCAGTTGGACAGTAGCATGGAGGAGCTGAAGAGACTCGTACTGGAGGGGATGAACAAAGATCCTTCCCTCTACTCTACCCTGGAGAAGGCAGACATTCTTGAAATGGCCGTTAACTATCTCCAGAATTCCATCAGCACGCAGGCAGACGGTAGGTCATCCTATACGCGCCCAGTAATAACATGTTGAAGCGACGTATAGATGAGTGAGATGCTGAGAGTGAATGTAGAAATATGAAGATAGATTTATATTACTATAACATCTTTTAGCGTACTGATGTCGCATTTCTACTGCCCACCGTCATAAACGGTAGCTCTTTAGCTTTGTCTTCGGCGCGATCCGCCTCCCCTCCGCAGCAACAAAGTCTCGTTGTATTTGTAGCTGTACGTTGGTCTCTGTAGCAACGCGGGTGGTAAGCCCCAGTGTTCTATGCATCCCCCTAACGCTCACGCGTGAGCCTGAGTGCCCACAAAGGCACGTAATCAAGGCCATTGAGTGTAAGACAGGTTTTCTCTGACTCAGAAATAGCGCGCCGTGCAACAAAGATGGCGGCCATTAGCATGAACTCATCTGCAGTATAGGTGTTACTGCTGTAGATCTCTATCGTACGTAAACGGGGAGGGCACAATAGTTGTAGTACTGAACGCCATTGTTATTGCGTCTAAAGATATCGCGAGTGTCTCTGACATACCTTAAGTTGCGATGGGACGGCATCACGTGCTACCTAATGGTTCCTTAATTACATTTTTTATGTCTTGCTATTCTACAGATACGGCAGCATCAGTTGCATACGACTGCGCATGCGTCTGCGTGTGTGGGGCCGACTGAACACCGACCTATGCAAGTTCCACACCAGTGTCTTATCACTGAGGAAGGTTTGGCAATGTCACGCCAATGTCACCCATGCTTGACAGGAAGATGCGGTGAGAGAGGACACCCCGTAACCCTGCGCAGCGGAGAGCGCGCAGCCGGTTGAGCACGCAGCGGAGAGCTCGAGGTCACGTCACACCTGGTAGGTATTTTTTGATTATTAAACGAGATTATATAAAAGAACAAAAACAATCCAGAAATTGGAACAGAGTAAACGATTACTGCAATATCGCATGACTGCGAAACACGCCAACGAAATTATTCAATAATTCAAATCGGTAATAAGTCGTCGTTTTTTGTCAAGTTTCGCCTCGATAGTATACGCGACCGTTTTTTACAACGTCTCTCCCTGTTTTATCCAGATTTCACGAGAAGATGATGACTGCTGACCTCACGATGGCAGTGTCTCCCCAGTCGCCCTCGATGGCAACACCAACATCATCAACAAGCTGGCCTACTTCATAATTAAGTGGATATAAATAAATGCCCTTCACTTGTGAAGGAGACGATAGCTTTCCCCAGAAGTCACCGCGGTCAACTAAATGATGGAGTTATATGTAAATAATATCGTTTTACGCCTTGAATTATGTTTGAGCATATATCTATGTAGTGCACAGAGATTCCTCATTTGTTTCGAATCTCATAGAGCAAATAATCGTAGCCTAGATGTCGAACACAACTATGTAGAAGAAATGCAATATCAAAGTTTGTACTCTTGTTTTAATAAATACTCTTGTTTTAATGAAATTTTATTGGGTTATGCATTTACGGTTGGTATATACCCATAAATAGCGTAGTTGTCGCGCAAATAACCTAATTAGGTAAGCAACCCTCGTTCAACTGACATACACCTACAGACAATAAGGGGAAATTAAGGCAACCATTTATATACACATGCGTATACAGAGTACAGACACACATTAACAAGTGAATTCGTTGACGCGCCTAGATGCGAAGATCATTAATATATGTCAGAGTGTCTCTTCAGTGTTTTAATAAAGTCGCAGTATGGAGCTTAAATGCAAAGTCTTTTTTAAATGAAACATTGCGCTAAATAGCAGGACGAGAGGGATAGAAAATTGTAACTTATTCTTTGCACACCGACTGGCAAACACAAATGGTAGAGCATAACGAGTAAGCACATGCAATAAGAAGCGAATACTGCAACTTTATACATTAAAATAACGTTAAGGCGTATCATTTATTTTCTCAAAAAAGCGAGGAAATGTCCTGTTGCAGAACAAAATACACGAGGCTATCGAACTTTTGCAAATATATAGAACGGACAAAATGTTGAATATTTCATTAATGTAATAAACATACAGGGTTTTAATTACCATAGGTTTGTAATGGTTACATAACACATAAATGACATACAACTTACCATAGTTAGGGCGGTTCTATCTTATCTTAGTAGTGTTCGAGGTTTGACCCTAAGTTTGAAATCGGCCTACTTTAAGAGATTACAATGCCACATACCGACGCTATACAGTGCAAGGCGAAGATATTTTGTAAACTCAAATATTTTCTTTCATACTTATTTTTAAGCGTTTTTTTTCTACACGCGCGCAATTTGCAACGTCTTTTACACTGACAGTTACGCTTCGCGTAAATTCACGAAAAAAATCATCCACCTCAGAAGAGAGAGAATAAAGTCTAGTTTCCGATAAGAATTGGAAATCCCGTAAAACCTCTTGGCGAGATATAAAAAAAAAAGATAGAACATTTGTACACATTCGCCAATGATCTCATTATTTCACCTATTGTCAGATTATTCAATAAGGATATATAATACATAAAAGAATACAATAAATTCGTATTAAATCCGTGTTACAGAAGTAGGTTAGTTAAAGGATGGATTTATAACGTCTGTCTAGGTTTAGGTTAGCACATATGTTGTCGTTCCAATACAAGTGCTGCTACCATCCATACACTCCTGCTGCCCTCGTACTGCGTTCATAATACAGGAGCGAGGAAGAGAGTGATTTCGCAGCTTCTCCATGACACTGACACATGCCATGCCAACCAAGTGACATCCCAGGAATCGGAAAGTCCTAAAATTATGCTATTACTTTTGATCCGGAATATCCTGGAACAAGCGCTAGTCACAGCGTTGCTATGTGTTATTATACGTACGCCGTGGCAGCGGGTCGTGTATATGCAGTCGCACTTGTTAGGTGAACCATGGCAGTTGCGTTCCACTCTACAAAAATGCATAGAAAGAATATGTAATATTCTGTGGTTTACTCAGTACACTTTTAAACTATTAGTTTTGCCATATATTATATTGGGTGGTGTGGATCCAGGACCAATTGTAAAATAGCTCGAAGCAGCCCCCATGACATGAGTAACTTTTACTCATCCCATTGAGATATATGCTTCTTGTGACATTTTTAATAAGGACTTCTTAATTAATTAATCTTTAAGGCGTTTGAACAGATAAACTCAGTGGTAGCGGGCGGTAGAGACACTGACATGAGCAGGCTAAAGTTCACCCAAGTTCATTATCGAATTATTCATATAATGTTGTAAAAACTCAATCTACACGAACTAATCGCGTATTAAAGTAACTATACATCTAGTAGCATTTCCACTACTCTAGCACGGACACATTGCCGTACATAACATCATCCGGGGAGCTAGGTTCCCCCGCTGGCTGTCATGCAGGTAGCACGCGCCTTTAAACACGCGTGCCCTACATTTTTACTGGCGTGTTTATTTGTAGCCGTAGGTACACCAGCGTGACGAGGGCGCGTGTTCGGATAGCAGCCGCGTATCGTAAACGGTGCCGCCGCCTAGCGGGCAATAAGTGCACTACGCGGCGTGCGTTAATGTTTGTGTATGAGCTCGACGCGTCCGGGGGGGGGGGTTGAGCGCGCGCACTTGTATTTGTCGGTCTACAGCCCCAAACTAGGAGAGTACACGAGAACCTATAACCCGAGATAACATGTGGGTACCCGTTCATTAGCACCTACGGTTATTTACTTGTGCCTCAATACCGAGAATACACCCAGAGATACATTCTACTAGTGCTGAGAGGGTCTATGTCCCCCGGGGTACTGCCGGAGCGTACCCTGGGTACGGTCCGGTATACCGGAACGTACCTTAATGGGGTTAGCCGCTAGCTTTGTCAGCAGGTGGCGCAGCGGGAGTTAGAGGTGTTACAACGATTGCGCAATCAACCGGTCAGTTGGAAAGATACAGGAATCACGAATAGCCGATCGTATCGTCATAGCGATATAACCAAGTTAAAATGCCTTCGTAAAGTCTGCAGCGATCACTTCAGAGAGGCTGACTATACTAGCACACTTTTAAGGAAGTGTAATATCGAAAATAGCTTATAAACATTAGTTATTAGCTCATTTTGACTTTGAGGTTCGCAGTAGTTTTCTTGCGTATTCCATGCAGTCTAGATTATAAAAACAACTGTTATATAGTGTTATCATTGACATCATTTATCGCTACAGAGCAGTATAATTATAATACGACAATGCCAGTGGCAACGTTC